TCCAAAAGGTGCTGTAACTTATATGTTGTGTCTGAGAGCTTTTTTTACCTCCAGTTATTAAAAAAAAAAAATTCTTTGGGACAACATAGTGGATAGTAAGTAAAAATAAACGTGTAATTCTCAGAACTGTCTTGAACTATTTTAAAGCTTATTTCTTAATGAAATTTAAAAAAATAATTGAAAGACTGTTTCTTAGCAAGATAGATCTTTGATGTTTCTCAAATAGTTGCAGTTTCAGTAAAAGCATTGCCAGGTGCATATTGCCAATTTTTTTCTGTACTTCAGTATTTGTGGAAAGCTACAGTGTCACTGTGAGAGGACTGGTTTGCTTTGGATTTTTCCTTAGGCAGAGATTTGTTTTCCCTTCGTAAGAATTTTGGTGTGAATATTTTGACAATATATGGTCAAAGAAATTGTTTTAATTAACTGACTCATGTATAGGGCAGTACTGTCAACACCATCTTTTAATTATTCTCTTTCAGTAATTGGAACAGCTGCAGTTTAGTAGACTGAAAAACCAGAGGTCGAGGCATGAGAAGCACCCATGTGAAGGGGAAAGAGCTGAATAAGAAAGCCAATTAAACTATCACGCGGTCAGTTTTTTAGGGAACCTGAAGAGAAATTTTACGCATCCTTACTTGCTCCTTATTTCTTCAGTTTCTAGACTTGTGTCTATACAGCCATATTTAAATTGCTGAAATGATTTGATATTGAAATTATTATTGCATTTGAGCTCCATTACTCTGGGAATATTTTATTGGATTTTGGAGGTTCTGCTTTATTTCATTCTGTATCAAAAGGCCCTTGTATAGTAGGACGCATCAGCTCAGCAGGCTGGTAGTTTGAAGATATGGAAAAGATCAGAGCAGTTCCTCCCAATGTGAAACTGATTTTCTGCCTTCAGTTTGGAGTGTGCTTTGCTACTGCTAGTACAGGGGGTTTATCATATAATAACAAATACCTGTTTTAAAATGGGAACAGTGCTTTGTCTCAATGAATTTTTAGAACATGGGTGTTGGGGAAAAGAATCTCAAAAGCTCGAAGATGTTTACTGTTCTTACCACCACCGTTTGAAAGTATTTTTTTGTGTATCTGAGTCTGGTGTCTTTTGTTATACAAACACTTCATCAGTAGGAAATAGAAAACATAATATTTGTGACACAAATATTTAGACCTTTCTGTTTAAATTTCTAGATGAAAATAGGAGTTGTAAATCACACTGTCTCTGTAACTTTGCCTGTTTTTCTCTCTGTAAAGCTAAAAGAAGCCTGAGGGTCTGGAAGTGAGAAGACTTTTCAGGTCACGCTAGAAAGAGTTTGCAAGACTTGAGAAAGTTTCAATATAGCATAACCCTATTTTCACATAGTGCTTTCAGTTCCTCTCATACTTAGTAGATGAATAAAAGGGGAGAGGTAAGTAGCTTGTTAGAGTGGAACAGCAATTTTTTTTAACTGCAGCAAATCACTTGACTGAGCAAGTATTTTTTTCAGTTTTGTTTTTAACAGACTGAGGAAAGTTAAACTCAATCTGTGCAAACAGGAAAATCCAGCGGCATTTCTGGAAGTTTACTTCTATTCTGCTTAGTTTTCCTACAAGAATTCATGTGGCATTCCCAGACTAAGAATAAATATTTTCACACTAGTATAGTTTTACGTTGCCTGGGCTCTGATACATCTTTCTGCCTGTGCCTTTTTCTTTGAACAACCGTGAAGGGAAGTCTTATGGGAAATGCTGAGATAGTTTTAAAAGTTTTGTTGGAAATATAAATGCTCCAGAAATGTAAATGTGGTGGGCTGTAAGAGGACAGCATTTATTTTATAATGCAGGAAAAAGCAGCAAAGGCACATATGTTGACAGTCAGTATGTACAAAGCAGTGTGGTAGCAGCTTAGTGTTCAAGTTGCACAAAAAAAGGAAGAGGATATCCCAAGGAGAAGGAGTCACAAGGGACATGGTTTTAGCTGCAGTCCTGCCCTGAAGATCAGGGAGGGCTTGCAGAAGAAACAGAGCTGAGATCAACCTGCTGGCACAGCGTGGTTCTGTGTGTGACTTGGTCATGTGCTTGCTGAGTATGGTGCTGAGTGCCTGCTCCTCTAATATGGGGCCAAATCTTGGTTGTTGGTCAATAGTGAAACAGGATTTGGGGTGTGGGGGTGTGGAGGAAGAGGGTTAAGAAATGCTTTGCTCTTTTAACAGCTCTTCAGTGTCCCTTCTCACTGTGGGATCAGAGCCTCACTGCTGTACAGCCCCATCAGTAGCTTCTGGCCTTGCCTAACATCTCAGGTCTGTAAAGTGGCATCTTGGGATCTTGCCTTTGGTGGCCTTATTTACCTTTTTTTTCCTCCTTCTTGTGCACCTGTTCCTTTCCTTTATGGAGGAATTTTATGCAGAAGTGCTTGACACTCTGTCAGTTCCTTTGCTTTCTGTTTGCTCAGTGCAGCTTTGGAAACACAAGCATGGAAATGGTTGTTTAAAACCAAAGTTTTTCTCATCTTTTGTACACAGAATAAAGGATATGTAAGAGACTCCAATAATAAGTAGAATGTAACTTTAAGCAAGTTATAACTGCTTTTAATTTTGGGTGTGAACTTGCTTGTGACAAAACCACAGAAAACAAGTCCCTTGTGTGGTCCTAAGATGCTGTGTAATCTGTGTGGTTATCATGGGATTTCAGCATTTAAGGGTTTTCAACTTAAAGCAAATGTCCAGTTTGTGTGCCAGTTTGGTGTATTTTCAGAGCACTTGTCTGGAAATAACTGATTTCCCAGCCAGTAGGATTCTGCACTAGAGCTGTATTGCTACTTTTGGCCCTCAGAACCAGTTCATTTGGGGATGAGTGGCAAAGCAATGTAATATGAGAACAGAAAATGTATATTCAAGAGGTGCAATGCACACCAGGGGATCAGATTACTTTTCTCATTTTTTTCCATGTGTAACTAGACTGTTATTTTGAAGTCTTAATTAAAATATCAGAATAATATACTGTGATTTTTTGTTGCCATAAGAATAGTTTATGTAAAGCATAAAATACATTATAATAGTATTTTCCCTGTGAATACGCAACCACTCTGTGACTGTCAGGAAGAAAATGGGATTTGATTTGTTTTTTCTCCTTATATGCAGATAGGTGATTCATTTCTCACATGGTTGTTCTTTAGCAATTGAAAAGCATTTCTCTATTTTTAGAGTACCTGCTATTGCTACTTTCTTCAATTCTGCATTTTGTACATGAGCAGTTTGAATAGTGTGTGCTGGACACTGGGAGGAGATTTGGTTGGGCAGTGCTTGAGATTCATGTGCTTTCAAAAAAATGTTTACTGCTACTGGATTTTCCTGTGAAGTTTTTATTTAGGTTGTTTGTAGATTAATTGGAAAAATAAATGGGATCAGACACACCCAAAGGGAGAGCAGGTTTTTGAGGACTCATGTTGTCCTGTAGGCTGAAGGATCTTCTTGGGGCCAAATTGAAAAATGTCTGATTTCTGGATGCTCTTTGATTGACTTAAATGCCAGTCAGTGCTTGCCAATGACTTTGTGACTTGAGTAGGCTTTTACTGGTTAAAAGGGTATTTCAAGAGTTACTTTTGGAAAAGTGGTCCATTGATTGTCTTTAGCCTCATTCTTTAATATTAGTAATGCCACTGCTAATAAATAAAACATGATCATCTCCTTGGGGTTGGCAGAGCAGGGAAATAGAGATTTTACAAGGAGTTACTAGTTTGTTGCACTGGCTGCACTCAATGTGAGGATGGGATTAACAACACTTGCTTATTGTATTTTAAGACAGTTTCTATATGATGGCAAATGCAGAAGCAAAGTTGAGTGTATGAATTCAAAATGGGGATTTTTTTCTAGCTGCTACCTGACATCTTTCAACTTGACTTCCAGGCCTTCAGTGCAGAGCTGGCATGATCTGGTAGCCTGGTGTTATATGTGGATATGAGACTGCATGAAGTGTTTACCATCTATGTGGCCAAGCGTGCCTGTTGGCACGTAAATGCAGGAATTATTTTGCAGGAATTATTCTTCTAGAAGTATGACTTCTTTTATGCTAATACTGCATGCTCTGCAGGACTAGTGTTTCTTAATAGTTACAGCATATAAAACACTGTTGTCCTACACAGGGATGCCTGTTCAGCATCCCAGGTAGCAGTTCCTGTGAAATTTGTTGCCTGGGTTAATGCTGATCATGTGTAATTTAGAAATTCTTGAAAGAAGTGGGAGAGAGCTCCTCAGTTGTTCGTCCAAGAGGTGCAGCTGGTTTTGTATGAGTCCTTGACTCTGGTCATCCTGGGTTGTTTTAGTTCCTTGCCTGTGCTTACAGTAACAGCTTCAAATGTCCAAAACTATTTTGGGCAAGTGTTTTCAATACTGTTGATGAGGAGCAGCAATTATTCCCTGGTGATTCCATCCCAAAATTAAACTTTAATGTTGGAGGTTTCACTGCTACAAAAAAAACCCTATCAGTGTGTTATTAAATGTTATTAGAATGATTAAATTTATAGAAACTTACAGAGATAGCTCCTGGTTTGATTCTTTACTGATGGGTAGTATGACAGGGTGTTGGCTTTTTAGTGACAGGATTAAGCTGTCCTGATGAACAGAAAAATTGTCACGCTGTATGAAGACTATTCTAAAATCTGTAGATTAAACATCTCAGTGTTGATTTGGTTGACTGTGGCAATACATTACAAGTGATTCATTTTTTCCTGTAAGGTAATCAATATAGCTGAAGCTCTACCTTCTTTTCCCTGGAAACCTGCTCTGCTTATGCATAATATGCTATTAAATTCTCCATTCCCTTTTTAATAGTTTGCCTCCTATGCTCCCTGCTGTCATCAGCCCCGGGAGGTCACCCAGCAGAGCACTGAGTTGCAGAGTGGTCCCTGATGGGGACCTGCGTGACCATCTGCTTCGTCAGTTCTTCAGGCAATTTGTGAGCTGCTGGGGGGGGGCGTTGAGAATTAGATTGTTGATAGCGTTCCTACAAAGACTGCTATTAACAGCCTGCTAGTCTCTGCTTCTCTACTGCAGAAGACAGAGTGATATTTGTGTTTCCATAGCATGTTGTAAAATGCATGAGATTTTGCTCATCCTCCTTGGAAATGAGAATAGGAAAATGAGAGCATCCTGAACCAGAAGCTATTAGAAGAACATGCAGAAACCTGCAGCGATTTGTGCTTTATTTTGTCTTCCTAGCTATGGATTAGAAGGACTGATTTTTGCAATGGGCTTTTTCCATAATGGCATTCTTGTATTGTTTGGTCAGAGCTTGCACAGGAGGAAAACAGGCTGCTGAATTTAGTCACTGATCTCTATTAGCCGTGGCCTAAGGCTATGCTGAGATTTATATCCCATTTGTATTGTTGCAGCTCAAAAGAAGAATGTTCAGAGGATGACAAGTGTATTCTGAGTAGGTATGTTGTTTCATTTTCATAAGAAACCCATTTTTTTTTTCTACTTCCATTGGTCAGAAATGAGGTTAATAAGAAGAGAATATAGTACAGTGCTGCAGTGGTCCTGTTAAGGTAGAACAATAGCATCAGAAATAGTTCTTTAAAAATTAGCTGCTTTTATTAAATAAAGCTGCATTGTGCTGGTGTGCAGAGTGCAGTCTTTTTTTTTAAAGCATATACTGCAGTCAGTGCTTCCCTAACGAGGTGGCACTATTGTTGAGTTAGAAGGATAGAATCATCATATTGCTTTAGGGGACAGCAGGATTTAAAAGGAGATGCCTTGCAGCCCTGTTTTACAGATTGGAAGCATCGGTTTAAGGGCATTGGCAGAATCATTTCCTTGTTCTTAGCAGCAGCCACTGCTGTGTCAGTAGTGTGTGGAATGGAAGTCCTAGTTGGTAGTCTGTTATGGAAACGCTGTTTACTGTTATTGTAGTACCGTGGTGACAACATGCCATTGAAATGGAAAACGAGCTCTCCTGCTATCTGGAAATTCCCAGTTCCTGTGCTTAAAACATCCAGGTCATCGCCACTTTCTCCAGCATACATGTAAGTGAGAGAAATGAGGATAATAAGGTGGGAATATTTTTCGTGAGACTACCCTGTGGCAAAATACCCTGTTGTATATTAAATGACATTGGCACTCAGAATTTTACCTTGTTTGCTGTGTAGACCCCCTCAGATTTTATCCTGGATGTTTCATGATGGATGTCGTGTCGAGTCTTTCCCTTTTTGTTGAAACGTAGAGAAAATGTGCAGATTAAGCCATATTCATAAAATATTGTATATGTTCATTTGAAAAGTTTGTGGTGTTGTTAATTTGTAGAGCTGATCTTGTATTGACAAGTTAAGCTTTGAGGCTGACAGGCTTTCTTTATAGTGTATATGCTAACATTTCTTCCTCCTGACTTTTACACTTGGAAATTGAGCTTGAAATCACCTGCTGTATTGTACTGCACTTTTGTTCGTGTGAGCTCTTGTGTAGAAGAAATCATCCTGTTTGGTCTTGTTTCATTCTTTAAAGTCTTTAAATTGAAAGTTACAATCCTTATACAGTTATACAGGTTGTCCATGTAAAGTAACTTCATATAAATGAGTATTTTAGTACACATGGTGACAATATGCCTTTGTCTAGTCAAACCTTGATGCAGCTTTTGTTCACCTTTTGTTACTGCGAGTTCTGTGTCAGCATATACAGGTGGCTTTTTCTTCCTCCTGTGGAATAAAACTAATAAGCACAGAGTACTGCATTGCTTCTACCTTTATTCAAGGAAGCAGCTCTTTCAAAATGAGGAAGAGTTGCTTTAAATTTCACAATGTAGATGACTTTCCTATCTGGAAATTACTGTAAAGGCTAGTACTTTCTGATAGTATTCCAGTCTAATACCTACAATATTAGTACTTTTAAACCAGTATTGTCTGCTTGCAGATAAGCTTTTGCTTCAGCTACTGTAGGGACATGCTGTAAGAGCTACACAGGTCCTCTCAATGTCTTTTTCTTGTTGTTGCTGAGAATTGCATTGATAACAGTGGGGCTGAAACAATCCAGCGCCGTGTGCATGGTCACTATTGTTCTCGGTCGGAAAGGCTGAGGCTTAGGGAGATAACCTGGCTGTACCGAACCTGTGCTCTGCACGCTCCAATTTAAGATGAATTTTCATGGAAGTGCTTCTGCCTTTTTACTGGAGCATCAAATATGTTTAAGACCACCAGAAGATAAGCTATTTCCAATAAATTGCTACCTATTCAGAGTTTTTAAAAAATATGGTTTAAATACAAAGACAAAAGAGCTGTGAGGCATTTGAACCTATTTCATGGAAAGAGTGTCTTTAGTGTTGTATGTTACCCTTTTGTTTTTTAAACTGTAGTACTTTTAAGGGCAAGAAAAATCAGAAATAGCCCGGTCTGATCCATCTGCTGCTGAAACCGAGCGTTTCTTTTGTGCGTCGCCTTTAAATCTCTAATCTTAGCTCAGTGTACGCTCCGGCTTTTGTGCTGGGCATCGTGTAGCTGATTATCTCAGTGTGTTCAAAGTATGAACAGGTTTAGCCATCATGCTTAACTATACGATGCTGAGCTTATCTGGAGCATGAGAAATATGTGATCAGCAGCCCTAATCATCTCTTTATAATGAGTCAATGTATCTCAATGTTTACGAAGGCATTTCTTTAGTGGCACGCAGACCTGACATTAGCAGGACTCATAAATCTAATGTTAAAATTATTCATATACTTTATTATAAAGAATGAGAAACATTACAAAATGGCACCTATCTGATTTGGCAATATATATCAGCTGATTAAAAATGCCCCTTCTAATATAGGTTGACCAGTAAAATAGGTGATGGAATTAATTATCTTAAATGCAGAGATTACAGTAAATTTACTACTGGTTTATGTGATCCAGTGTTCTTCACATACATATTTATAAGTTTTCTGTCATAAGTAGTAGTCTGCACACTGGCAAAGGACTTATGTTTTGAGTCAAAGATTGAGGAATAAGTGGTGTGTGAAACAGTACGTGTATTGATGTAAAATAAATGACCATAAAAGTCTAGAATTCACAGATGAACACTTTCATGCTTGGTATTTTGGATCTAGGGTGTACAAAGATATGATGCAGGTTTTAATCTCTTTAATACTTGACTTCTTAATCTTACAAAATAGGATTTTTAGTGTGGTTTGAAATGTAAAGTAGGGAGGTCCTAAAGGTGTGGCATTTGTTTGTTGTTTTTTTTTTTTTTTTTGTATTTATAATGAAATTCCAATTTTTCAGGTTTCTGTAGTAAAGTTCACCTTAACTTCAAAAAATTTCATCCTGCTTATGATTTACGTGTAACTTATCTAGAGGTTAAACTGATGATCAGGACACATGGATTTTATTAGTTTCACTTGGTCTGGGTACCCGGTGCCTGAACTCTGCCTTAGTTTCCCTGTATCCAAATGCCGAGACTGGTGGTTGTGAGCGCGTTTGGCTTCTTGGATGAAGCAGCATCTGCGTACAAAGTACCACTGTGAAACTTTGGCTGTCCTGCTAACTGTGCTGCTGGGGTGGCTTAGCTCAGTCTCTACCTGAAAAGTTTGTGGCAGTTCCTGAGGTGGGGAATGAGTATGAGGAGCTCGAAGAGTTCTGCGCTGTGGGAAAGTAGCGGATGGGTAGTACATGAAATAAAGGACCTGCGGCACTTGAGCCGATGAGTTTGTAGGCGAGGAGGTGGTTTTGTTACTGGGAATTCTGCTGGTTTGGCTGGGTCTGGTACTGCTTTCCTGGCAATGGGAAGGAGCAGCAGTGACTCGCTGCCTCTTGGCTGGTAGCTTTGTTTACCAACAGTTATTTATTAGGTATATTTTCAGGACATCCTGACTGCAAGAGGTAACTCTTGATGTTATTCAAAGGATGAAGGGTCCCTTTGATGGGGAATGCAGACATTCCCTGTCTTCTGGTGGAACTGGTCCAGAATTGCTTGAACTTTCCCTCAAATTACAGAGATCTGGTGACATTGCATAGGGAGAATTAGGTACTATTAAAATTGGAGTGCTGGCATGTGCCAGTATATGTAGGTGTAGCACAACTGGTTTAGTGCACGAGGGAGGAGTGTGCAGTTATGGGTGTGTGCACATGCCTTTGTCAGGCTGCTTTGCATTTTCTTTCATGGCACTCATGTTGCTGGGATTTAGAATATAGATTCCTTTTGTCAAGCAGTGTGGAAGCTGTTACAGCATGTTTATGCACCGCTACTCAAATCCTATTTATATTTGTGGTTGTGTTGACTACGTGGGCAGAGACCTAGGTGACTTAATGTATAACGTGGGCAGTCTGAGCAAGTGAATCAGAGGAAAGGACAAAGTGAATAACACAGAGTTGAAAAAGTAGCATTCTGTGGCATCATAGCTGTCATTTAACATGACTACCATGTGCTAAAAACAAAAAAACCCAATGACTGACCTACGTAGAGGTTAAGAATTAAAGCCCTATCACAGACAGAGTGAGGAACAGTTCCGCATTTGGTTGTATGTAACAGCTTTGAGGTGTAGAGGAACATGAATCCCAGTTATTGTTCATGGGTCACATCATCTCATACATTAAGAACCAAGAGAATTCTTTCTTATTCACACTACCAGTGTCACATTGTTTTCCAAATTTGTGCACATCTTCCATAAATACGAACAGAAGAAATGTTTGTGGAAACTCGGGAGATTAAAGTACTATGGTGGACGTCTCCAAAGAATTCAATAATGCAAAAATACTATTTGAAACATACTATTACAAAGGATTGTTCTATAAGGCTGTGTCATGTGAGAATATTCTCAGCTGTTCTCTGAAAAGTAAAATGTTCAGTTAAGTGTTTTTGGTCGCTTACATGCCATTCTGAAAAATAAGAAAAATGAAAAAAATTCTTAAATAAGAATAATCCGTTTGTAATCTTAGTGCCTTCTATCCTTTTATACAGAATAATGTATTGACATTTTAAATGGCAACTATCCTTTGCATGTGTTTTCTTAAGTAACTGACTGATATTAGGAGAAATAAATAAATGTGGTATTCCAAATACATTGTTATCAAAGGGTTTGCAACACGGTCTGTCCTGAGTCATGTGGTTGTGAAATTTTTCTGATAGGAAATGCTTCACAGTAATAGAAATCGATTACTGTGCAGAAAAGCAGAATAAATTCTTAATACCCTGGACTAAGCAGTGCTGGTTTAGCTGCTTATATTGGTTATATAGGTTTATGCTTTTGTGTCATCTTTCAAATATCTTGATTTGCTTTATAATAAACTTTTTAAAGTTATCCTATAAAGTGATATATACTTAAATGTGAAAAACTGTGTATGCATAATTCATCAGACCACCTGTATTAGTTTTCCTTTGTGAGACCACCCTGTGTGGTTGGTCATTTTTAGTAAATCAGCCCTTTTGTTGGGCTCCTGAGCATTTGACAAGTTACCCAACATTCACACAGAAACACACTCAACTGTCTTTGGCAACATTTCCATTTTAAAACATTGCTTCCTAGATATTTCAAATTTCAACACATTGAAAGTCAGTGTGCAAGGTCACATCATATATTTTTTTTAACTAATGTGATAATACGTGCAAAGAGATGAATTGGATGAGTGGGGAATAGAAAGGGCTTGTATCTTACTAATAGCAGACTGCTTTTAATCCCATAAATTTTGTGTACAGAGTTCTCATTTGTGCCTTTTGATCTTCCTTTTGCTTTTTATATAATAGGTATTTCAGTGGATTATTCTTTTGAAATGTGACATTTCATTGCAGTAATGAACTGGTAAAAATGAGGGGAAAAAATCCAACCTGTTTGTCATGAAGTTTCCCAGGGCTAATGGTTTTTCGGGGAGACCTTTATAGGTGATGCTGTGGCTTACAGGTCCTCAAAATTCCATACTTCTCCTTATATAGCATGATGTTGCAATATTGACATTGTGTTGTGACATGCTAAAACATCTTTATTGAATTATCTAGAATATGTTACTCAGCCTGTTCTGCCTGCATGTCAGTTCTGCCACTTTGTCATTTTTGCCATTATTTC